CACTACCCCAGGCTGCTCCAAGCCCTGTCCAACCCCTCCTGGGACACTTCCAGGGATGGAGCAGCCACAGCTGCTCTGGGCAGCCTGTCCAGGGCTCCCCACCCTCCCAGGGAAGGGTTTTTCCATATATCCCATCTATTCCTGCCCTCAGACAAGTTTAAAATCCCCTTTTCTATCATGATCCGTTTGTGCTGTTACATTCCTGGTGCTTCAGAAAACTCAACCCTGACCCTCAAATAGAAATTTCAAAGCGACATTTTCACCCCCATTTTGAGAACATCAGTTCTGGCAGAAGGGATAAAACAGTGTCAAACCCTAAATCAGCCCAAATCCAATAAATCTGGGGTTATTTCCATAACAGAGGTCTGTGCTTCCCCCTGTTCCACCCTCCCTGGGGAGAGCAGCAATTCTCACCGTTCCAGCTGAAGCTCTGCAGGGTGTCCCGCAGCAATTTGCACTCCCTGTTGTATTTCCAGGCCTCCTGCATCACTTCATTCAACTTCTCATCTTCATTCTCTCCTGGTTGGGACAACAGAGGGACACAGGAGGTTTGGATTCAAACTGGGCAGTCATTCCTGCTGACCCCACACAAAGCAGGAAACGGCCTTTAAACCAAATATTGCTGTTTAAAAGTTCTTTTAACAGCTCTGCATGTCATTAAAACTCCACATGAACCCAAATCCCAGCTCAGAGGCTGCCCAGGACTTTTCTTCCCCCCAAAGTGGGAGTCTTGCACATTTAGGAATAAAAGGTTCTTAAAAGTGGCAACCTTTACCAGCCTGTGGTAGAATGCACTGAGCAATCACATCTCTGAGCTTCTCCAGAGCCACGTTGGAATCATTGCTTCCATTCTCAGGGTCATGGATGTAAACACCATCCTTTGGCTTGGTGCTGCACAAGAACAAGGGGGGAATAATTAGAATTTAACGAGCTAAAAGCTCATTACTTGTTGTGTAACTGCTGCAGTCTAACACAGCTCATTCCCTCTCTGGGAAACTGGGAGGCAGGTTCAGCATTAATTATAATTCTTGATAATTTTTAATTTGGAGAAAAAGGAATATTCCTGTAAGTTATTTGAAATAAGGGTGATCCTAAAGTGTATGAATCTATTTTTGAGAGTAACTCGAACAAAGAGAGAGACAGAAAGTTTACCTGACTTCTTCAGCAAAGAAATGTCAGGATGAGAAAGAATTTTAAGATATTTTTTCTCCCAGTTTGCCTTATCTTACACGTGACCCATCATCCCAACAGGAATCTGTTCAATGCAGGAACAGCACCCAAGCTCCCTCCTGCCCTCCCTGGCACATCCTGGCAGAAAAACCACACTGTGCCACTGCTGCTTGTCTGAGCAACACCAGGATAGTGTTAAAGCACCACAGCTGAGCCTGTGCCATCCCCAAAGGCACCTCCCAGCCATCCCAGCTGGCTCCAGGTTGTCCTTGCAAGCCCAGCTCTGGAGTTACCCCAGGAGTTTCCGCTTGCGCAGGATCGGGTTGTTCACGGAGTGAAGGGGCTTCAGGCTCACTTTGAGGTCCTGGATTCTCATGTTTGCAAGTTGTTCTGCATGAGCCTGCTGGATCCCTGCCACCATGGCCTGCAAAGACAATGCACAGTGTTTGCCATGGGCAAAAAAAAAGAGGCACCGAAATTTGGTTTATTTTGGAGGTGGGTAAGAAAAAGCAGGTTTGCATGAAGCAAGGTATGGTTACATCTAAAATGAGTGACAAAATATCCCTGGGGGAAACAGGACAAAGGATCATCTCCTTCTTGTGTTCACAAGATTGACTGAAATCCTCTTGGAGCAGAAATGAAAGGAAACAAGGACTGTTTGTTTAATTAGTGAGGTCATTGCTGTATGAGCTCATAAAACATGGCCAAAAGAGGAAAGAGCTACAGAAGATCCCTCAGGCTCTGCTTTCCCCCATCAGCACGTGGCTGCTCATTACACCAATCTGGGAGCATCCCCTTCAAGCCCAAATTTCCCATTTTATTCCCATTTTCGTTTCCATTTTCTCCCTATGATCTCAGCCTCTCCATAAGCAGAAGAGAAGCTCCTTTTCTGCATAACCCCACACCAACAAAAGCCCTTCAGCCATCCCAGAGCTCTCCTGACCAAGTCACTGCTGCTCAGACCTTGTCCATCATCAGCTGGGCAGAGGGCAGGATGTTGTCCAGGGCCTCTGTGGAATTGAGCCAGGGATGCTCCAACACCCCCTCAATGGTCAGACGTTCCTCAGGCTTCACCTTCAGCAGCCTGGGGAGGAAAGAACAAATCCTTAAGAAGGAGTTTGGTGATTTAAATGCATTTAAATGCATTTTCAAGGCTAAAAAAAAAAAAAAAATCAGCTTTGCCAAGAGCTCAAACTGCCTCATTTTGGGGCAAAATCTCCAAATCTGTCCCAGCTCCCTGAGCTTGCTGTGGTTTAATTCTGTTATAGCTCACCCAGGGCAAAGGAGGGTGCTAAAGGCATTCCTGGGGTACCCCTGAATTCCACAGCTGCTGCTCCCAGGGGGGAAATCACCTCCAGAGGAGCTGGAAATGATCCAGGCTGGCACTCCCTGGAAATGCTCTCCCCAGAACAGGTTACACTCATCCCAATGGAAACTCTGCAGCATTCACTGCTCCCACCATGCCCTGGAAAGTCCTCAAGTCATGAACACTTTGGTTCCAGCCCCTCAAAATAAAAAGCAGCTGAAAACTCCATGAAATCCTTTTTTTTTTCTAGCATGAAAGCCTGGAAAGAGGATTTGCAGATAAATTTGTGTTCTCATGACGAGCACAACTAAATAAAAAAAGCAGGAATTCCCACAGAGTGCTGACAAGTCATCCCAAAGTCTGAATGGGAATGGGAATGACTCCATGAGCCTGTCACACTTCCTCACACAACTCCACATCAGCTTCTTGGCTGCAGAGCACAATTGTTTAATGTCCCAAGAAAGTGGAAATAACTTGTACAAAATGTCAGCAGCACCATGGGGGAGAGCAGAAATCCCACTTGCTGCCAAGCAGGTTCATCTCATTTTTGTTAGCAGCCACGTGCATTCCTTTTCCATGCATTTCCCAAATCCTAACCCGTTATCAAACCCTCATCAAGCCTGAGGTCAGAAATCAGCCTGGATCCATGGGACAACATCCTCAGAATTGACTTTCATGGGAATTTTAAAAGACAATGAAACCTTTTTCCTGTGGAGTTTCTGTGTGAGAATAGAGCTGACCTTGTATAAAGGAAAGTTAATTTAATGAAAGGTTGGGGGTTCTCCTGCACAGCTCTGAAACAATGTGAATCCTTGGAGAATTTACAGTACATCTCAGGAGCCAGTGACACTTCTAAATTACTTCCCCAATTTATTTTTTCCTTATTTATATTGCTTTTGTTCTCTGGTGCTGCAAAGGCAGTAATCCCTGACACTTTTTCAAAAATAAGTGAGGTCAAGCCCCAGTCAGTGCCACGTTCCTGCTCCCAAACAGACCCAGCCTTTGAAACACTCCCAGCTGAGGGATGTGCCCTGCATGGAAAACAGGCTCCATTAGCATTGGAATAAAACATCCATGCAAAACCTTATCTGAGGCTGGCACCTCATGGCACATCTTCATCTCCCTCTCCATCCTCCTGCCTGACTCTTTTCAGGCTCTGTGTGATGTGCACAGGGCTTTAGGGGACACATTTACCACATCCCATTGAAGGCACTTGATTTTCACAGGAATTCAGATGTTATCCCAGGAAATCTGTGTTATCCTGAAACCCTTCAGTGCTCCCACTCCCCTTGAAGACTCAATTCACAATTCACCCCAACAAAAGAGACATCAACATTAAACACTTGGACAGGGAAAAAAAAAAAATTAAAAATTCCCAGACTTGGTTTATGCTGAATGTAACAGAGAATTTGTCAGCTGGATGAGCTGCAGACAACCAAGGCACTTCCAGGAGCTTTTCCACTTCCTTAACATGGAACCATTCCAATTCCTTAACAAAGCACACAGCAACAGCAGAGTTTCCTCAAGGACTCACTTTCTGACAATGTCTTTTGCCATTTCTGAGATCTGGCTCCACTCCTCCTCTGGGAACTCGAAGCTTCCTGTCATGATCTTTTTCCTCATGTCCTTGGGAATCGTCCGGCTGTGGTGCTTGGAGTAGAAGGGGGGGTACCCACACAGCATCACGTAGATGATCACCCCCAGGGACCACAGGTCACAGCTCTGCAAGCAAAAACAGTTCTGGTGTGATTCCCAAAGGGAACAGAACCAGCTCAGNAAAGTACACTCCAATGTTACCGAGTTGCTGTTACACCTGAAGTTCTGCTGTGACCCTGAGCAGAGCCCAAGTCAAAGTGACCCCAAACCGAGGGTGCCAGGGAATGCCAAGGGGGTGCCAGGGGGTGCCAGGGGGTGCCAGGCTCACCAGACAGTGCCAGCCCGGAGGCTCTGGGACACGAAGTTGGCTTTGTCCAGGTCCCTGGTGAACACGGCGGCGGCCAGGCCGTACTTGGAGTCGTTGGCTCTCTCGATCACCTCCTCGATGGTTCTGAACTTGAGGATCTGCATCACCGGCCCGAAGATCTGCAAGGAGCCAAAGCAGAGGGAGGAACACACAGAGCAACCGGGGCTGGGACTGCCTGAGGGACCACAGGGTGAGGGGGGATCACGCTGACAACGTGTGCGTAGAAGGCTTACATTATATTACACTATACTATATTATATTATACTATATTATATTATACTGTATTATATTATACTATATTATACTATATTACACTATATTACACTATATTATATTACATTATATTACATTATATTACATTATATTACATTACATTATATTATATATATATAGTGTATTATACATAATATATAATACATATTATACATTATATATACTATATTACATATATATACTATATACTATATATATATAGTATACACTATATACTATATACATAGTATACACTATATACTATATACATAGTATACACTATATACTATATACATAGTATATACTACTATACTATATACTATATATATATATACTATATATATACACTATATATATATACTATATACAGATATATATTATATCTGTATGACATATGATTTATTCTATAGTACATATATTATATTTTATATTATAGATAATACATAACGCAAAATATATAATATAGAATATACTTTATATATTATATTACACATAATATATTATACATTATATATATACACTATTCTGTATTACATATTACATATGATATATTCTATATTATATATAGTATATATTATATTTTATAGATAATATATAATACAAAATATAATATAAATAATATAAGATCTAATATATTTTATATTATATATTGTTGCATAATATTGTAATGCATAATATATTATACATTATATAATATTTATATGTTACACAATATATATTATACAATATATATAATTATATATTATAATACATTGCATTTTATTATGTTATATTCTTATATTTTTTATTATATTTTATGTTTTATTACATTAAGTTTTACATTTTATTTTCTATTACATTGCATTTTATATAATACATTATAATATATATTACATATAATATAATATATAATATATAATATATAATATATAATATATAATATATAATATATAATATATAATATATAATATATAATATATAACATGTTACATATATAATATATAACATGTTACATATATATTATATATTATATATTACATATTATATATTTATTATAAATTATATATAATGCTATACCAAAGAATACAGAAAGGATCCAGACAGAAGGCTAAAAAATACTCATGAAAATTTCTCTCCTCAGTCTGACACAGCTTGGCCCCTGATTGGCCAATGAATAAAAACAATTCACATGAAACCTCTGTTGGATAAACAATCTCCAAACCACATTCCAAAGCAGCAAAACACANCCCCAATCCCATAAAAGAACCCATTTGTTTACAATGGGAGGCTGAAAATCCAACAACAATCCAAGGAAGGAACAGCAGGGAAATGGAATGAGAGCTGTGTGTGGGGGCAGCCAGGGACAGGACAGACAGCCATGGAAAGACAGACTGCCATGGAAGGACAGACTGCCATGGAAGGACAGACAGCCATGGAAGGACAGACTGCCATGGAAGGACAGACAGCCATGGAAAGACAGACTGCCATGGAAGGACAGACTGCCATGGAAGGACAGACTGCCATGGAAGGACAGACAGCCATGGACAGGACAGAAGGAAGCTCTCAGTGCCCATTCTGGGTCAGTGGCAGCTGCTGCTCTTGCACAATCACACCTGGGGACAAGGCCCTTCCCTCAGCAGCTCTGTCACCAGAGCAATTCCTCACATGGAACATGGACAGAAAATCCCTCCCACCTTGGAAATCCCAAATGGACAATCCATATGCAAACACTACTGGCACATTCTAAGGAGCTGAGAAACAGAATTGTCTGCTGCAATCACCAACCTGGCTCTGCAGGATGGAGAGAGGCAGATTTGTGATGCAAAGTAATTAATAATTGCTTTAATTTGCTCTGTGAGGCTACTAAATGCTAACACTGCATATCAAATAAACAACCATCCCTAAAGCTGCAATCAGGGCAGATCCTTGCACTGGGATCACAAACCAAAAAACCTGAATTAAAATTGACACTCAGTGGTTCAAGCACTGCTCAGCCAGCAGGAGACAGTGATGATAATAAGGAGGAAAACGTTTTGGAATGCCCAAAAAAAAGATTATATGACCTTTCAGGACATTTCCTGCCATGATTTTGCCAAGATTCCAGCAGCTCCACAATAAATTCTTGGTTGTTTTCCAGAAGATCCAGGTAGAGAGCAGTTCCTGGCACAGCTAATGAACAAGGAATGCTGTGCACATCCAGAAACTCTGGCAGCAGGAAAGAGATTCCCTTTGAACAGAGCTGAGAGAATTTCCCTCATGGCCTCACTCCAGCTGAGACCTTCTACTCTCCAAAATCTTGTTCATATTTGTGTATTTACCCCCCCTTCATTACAGAATCATTAATTAAGTTTGCACCAAATGTGCATTTTATTATTTGCTCTATCAGAAGCACCAGAGGGGTGAGGAAGATTTTTGAAGATGTTTCCCAGCTCACCTTGTTGTAGGTGTAAGGGGTTGGAGAGGTGGGGATAATACCAGACTTTTCCTTCTGATGTCTTCTTTGTGCCTCCAATACCTGGTGAGAGGGGAAATAAAAACAAAGAAAAATCCATTTCTGAACAGGCAACACAACCAGCAAAGATTCCTGATGATTTTCCATTCAGGAAATTTATTCCAGCTACTGAAGTCTTATTCCAGCTACTAAAGACTACCAAAGTCCAGATTTTCTCCCTGAGAAAAGCTGGAGGTTTCTATATGAGGAAAACACTAAAATATTTAATATTTTAGCACTGAAATCTCCAGTTCTGCCTGAATTAAACATTGCTCAGAACCTCCAAGCCCTCCATGCTTGGAAGCAGAACCTGAGGTGTGTCTGGAGGGTGAGCCCAGCTCAGAGCTGTCCCTTTGTGCCTCTCCCAGCACAGATCCCACCAAACGTGGCTTTGGGCTGCAGGGTTTGGGGAGGAATCTGATGAATTTTCAGGGCATGCTCTGATCTCTGAATTGCCTTTCCCAGTGATTAAAGGCAGCCCAGCACTGCAATTAAATCTCCATCATTTTCATTTTCTCCAGGATCCAACACAAAGGACAGGAGAGAGGGAGGAAAGCACTACAAAGAGCAGCCTGTGTGTAATTACAGGTTGTGTTTAATTACACAGGGGCCAGCCAAGGTGCCCAAGTTGCCACTGCTCTTTCTGAGCAACCTTTTCAGAACCTTTTCCTTCCAACCAAGTCCTTTTTAATGGAATCCTGAATGAGCTTCAGCTGGAAGGAGAATGGCAAAGCAGGGATTTCTCCAAAGCAGCTGCTTTAATACAGCTAAAGGCCAATTATCACCATCAGTGCTGAGCAATCTGGGAAATTTGCTTTATCAACAAATCCCTGTGGTACTCCAGCTCAGGGTGGAGGGATTTCTGGAAGATTCCTGCACCCAGAGCCCTTCCAGGACAGCAAAGGGGTTAAATGATGTGGAGGTTCAGGCAATAAATGATCCCCCTTTAGCCCAGAGCAGGAGCTGGTTCTTACCTGAGGTGCTACATAATAGGGAGTGAACTGGGGTGTCATCAAGTCACCTTGGTCAACTTTGGCAAACCCAAAGTCACACAATTTAACAGGTGCATCCTGAAACAAGGAGAAGAGGCTTTATTAGATAAATCTCATTAAATCAGCTTTTCTAACACAGAACTCTCCCCCTGTCCTCACCTCACCTTTTCCACACACTGTGTTTATCCCCTCACACTCCCCCAGGCAGCTGAAAGGTCACAAATTGACCTTTCAAACCAAGGTTTTGCTTTTCTGGGTGCTCTGGGCTCCCTCAGGGATTGGGAAAGCACTGAGGCCCTTGTAGGGGGATCCCTGCATATCCAGGCTGGTCACCAAAAATTGTTTGGATCTACCAAAGACCTCCAGGCAGAGGGTCAGAACAGAGGGTCAGAACATCCTGATGAGGGGCAGAGCTGGATTGTGTTCATGTGGAGAACCTGACCCTGTCTAACAGCAGCAGCAGGGACTCCCTGCTCTGCAAGGAGATCAGGGGGTGGGAAAGCACCAAGTCCATCCAGGTTATTAAACTGAAATTTTCAACTGAAAATTCAATTCCATTAAATTTTTTTTCCAACCGAATTTTCAATTTCAATTTTGTCACCAAAACATTCATGTCATTTTGCCACCACCCTTGAGCCACTTCACAGAATTCAGCAGCAAAAGAATTGCAAATGTTGATCTTACCAGAGAGTTATCCTTGAAGAGGAGATTCTCAGGCTTGAGGTCTCTGTGTGCAATGTTTAGTGAGTGGCAATGCTGCAAAGCCAAAGCTATCTGGAAAAGGGCACAATAAATCAGCTACAATCACCAACCTCCTCCTGCAGCCTGGACATTTATTTCAGCTTTACAAAGCACAGTTCCAACCCCAAATATTTAAAGTGGAGTTCTCCTTTACTGACAAGCCTGACCCAGCTGGAACATGAATCCCACAGAAAGCAAAATCCAACCCCAAATATTTGAAGTGGAGTTCTCCTTTAGGACATGACCCAGCTGGGACATGAATCCCACAGAAAACAAACTCCAGGCTGGTCTGGGCTTCCCAACCTCCTCATTTTGGGAACTGAAGGCACTGAGGAGGTGCCAGTGCCCCTTCCCTGCTGTGCCAGGGCTCCAGGGAGCTCTGGGNTGCAGGAGCTGCGCTGTGCCCTCCGCTCCTCTCCAGACATCACAGCATGGCCGTGCCTCCCACGGCAGCCCCACCGCCCTCAGTCAGGCCCAGACCCCGCTCACTCCTCCAGCCGGAGTGTCCCTGTCACATCAAGGCAGCACAAGCCCAGCGGGCAGCACAGAAAGAGCAAACCCTTAAAAATAACGGGTGAAGGAATTCGTGTGTGCTTGGGCTCACTGGCACAAACCTCCCACAAAAGTAGGGTTGAGTGCATTGCGGCAAGAAATGTTTATTTGGAGTGGCTACAACCAGCAGGACGGAACAAAACAAACACTTTTCCCTCAGATTTCACGCTGCTCCCTGCCCAGGTACACATCAAACTCAATTAATTCCCTTTGCTCACAGAAAATAAACACAGTTCATAGAACAAGGGTTATAAACCTAGCTCTGTAAGACTGTTATTTTCTATTCTATAAATCCTTCTAGACTAAAGAAGCATTTAAATGATTTATTGGGAAAAAGAAGCTTATTTATCACACCACTCTCCTCTGGGTGACTGCACCCACACAATACATTCCCAAAACAACCATCCCACCTTGGTAGTGCTCAGCCAGCTGCATCTGGTATTTAAAAAAAAAAGCCAAGTAGGTTTGTTTCTTTTTTTAACAAAAGCTCCTTTAAACACCTAAAAAACCACCTCTTAATGCAGAGCTACGTAATTGTGCATACTAAATTTTCTGTCTTGAGCTTTCCTCATGAAGCTGCAAAATCATTTTCAAATCTGTGGAGAAGGTTGCTGTCCTTTAGGAGTTTTTCTGTGGAATTTTGATTGTCACCTAGGGATAAAAAAAAAAAGGAAAAAAAAAGGGAAAGTTAGAAGTTTGGTTCTTTTTTTTTTGTCTTTGCAGGGGTATTCACTGGAATGGTGAGAAGCAGGAGAAAAACCAATGTATTGAAAAGCTCAAGGTTTGGGGGTTCCAGCCCTCAGCAATGGCACAGGGACATTTGGAGCTGCAGCAGAGGGTNCTGGGCTTCCCAACCTCCTCATTTTGGGAACTGAAGGCACTGAGGAGGTGCCAGTGCCCCTTCCCTGCTGTGCCAGGGCTCCAGGGAGCTCTGGGTTCAGGATTCCAGGGAATCTGCAGCTCCAGCCCTCAGGCAGTTTCAGTCTCTCATTCTGGATGGTGCTGCCTGCCCTTCAATATCCCACAGAAATCCATCCCTGGATTGTTTCAAGGATGCTTTGGGAACCTGCAACCCAGGCAGGAAAAGCTGCAGGGACTGCACATTTCCAAGTGCAATTCATTTCAAGGAAAGTCAAATATAAATATTTAATCAGCATTGCTGAGACAGAAGTGAGGCACAGGGCTCACAACCCTTATTTGGAAATATCTGTAGGATCCTACCCAAGTTTAGAGCCCTTAAAAACCTCCAAGTTATTGTCACAAGAGAACTTCACTGCTAACTCAGCCCAGCAATAAACACAAACACATTCCCAGAGAAAATGAGGCAGTGCTGTGAAAAGCTTGAACCATTCCTGGGTACAAGACAAGGATAAAGAAGCACCAGAGAAAAAGAATTTCACATTTCAAACTTCATTTCTACGAACATTAAAGCAAAGGGTTACTTGAGACATGAATAACCCACAGAATTCAAACCAAAGCCTTGGTTTCTGGTAAAGTTTTACAAGTTTTCCCCACCATGTCAGAATCAAACAGGCTAAACAATTTCAAACAAACTGTCAAGAATAATTCTGTATTTCCACCTCATTTCTTTGTTGGATGAGACCAAAAAGTACCAGCACAATTAGAATTTCATTAGAAACAAGTCAAAGCACAAAAGTAACACAAAGCACAAAAGTAACACAATTTTTTTTTGCCCCAAGTTCAGATATTCTGAGAGGAACTGGGAATGCCAGCACTGAATTCCACAGAGATCCTTCTGAGAGTCCCAGAACCAGCAACAAAAATCCTGCTGGACACCAAAACCCCCTGCAGAAAGCACCACAGAGGTTATAAAATCATTCAGGAGTGAGCTGGGAGAGAAAAGGTGAAGGAACAAACAGACACAAAATCAGGACAAACAGACACATTCCTTGGGATCTTGCAGGAATTCCACAGCCCAAGCCCAGAACCCAGCCTGAAAACCCCTGGCCCAGAGGAGAGAAATGCCAAGGGAGGCTCCAGAGCTCACGAGTCCTGCTGGAGGCAACACTTTTAGCACAAGAAAAATGACAAAATCCTCTTGCAAGCCTTCTCTGGAGCAGCTGTGGAAAAGCAAAGTTAAGCACAGCACACCCAGAGAACAAGCCCACACCTTCAATCCTTTATTCCTAATAACCCTTGGGCATTGTCACTTATAACAAAGCAGGCAATGATCATCGGATCACAACGGAGGAAATCTTGGAAATTCATCCTTTTTCCCCACCCTCCCAGCCCCAGGAATTGTCCCTACTTTAGCCAGAGCGTGGTGGATTTGTGGGACAGGGGGTGACTTGCCTGCTTTGTTACTTGGCTCGCTTGCTTCTCAGTAAAGTGCCGGTGCTGGCTGATTCTGTGGAAGAGCTCTCCCCCTTCCATCATCTCCATTACAATTAGCAGCCGAGCCCTGTTCAAAAGCATTTCATNATAATGCTATACCAAAGAATACAGAAAGGATCCAGACAGAAGGCTAAAAAATACTCATGAAAATCTCTCTCCTCAGTCTGACACAACTTGGCCCCTGATTGGCCAATGAATAAAAACAATTCACATGAAACCTCTGTTGGATAAACAATCTCCAAACCACATTCCAAAGCAGCAAAACACAGGAGAAGCCAATGAGATAATATTGTTTCTCTTTTTCTCTGAGGCTTCTCAGCTCAATAAAAAAGCTGTTTATAGATATAATTTCAGATTTAAAATACTACTTAAGAATGCTTAGCTCCTCCCCCTAAGTAAAACATCTCACAGTAAAATATTGTAATTTTATCAATAATGCCATAAACCTCAACAGCTCATTAACAAAAGACATCCCCCTAAAAGAAATAAGCTATAAAAAATTAAAAACCACTGCTCCACCTAGTTTTACCAGCTATTAATGGAAATAAATGCATTTGTTCCATCTCCCACTGCCAGCTGCCGGTGCTGCAGCACTCACCTCCTCCCTGGCGATGGTCATGCTGTCCTGCACGTCCCCAAACACCGTGGGCTGGATGAAGTAGCCCCTGTCTGCAGCGGGGCTGCCACCACACAGCAGCTTGGCTCCCTCCTTCTGGCCCGTGCTGATGTAGCCCAGGATCTTCTTGAACTGCTCCTCATCCACCTGAGAGCCAGCAGGGACAAACAGCTCAGCTGCCATTCCTCCCTGCAGCAGCTGCCAGGCAAGCTCCAAAGGGAAATGGTCATTTCTAAATGCCAAGATTGTCCCACTGGCTCATTAACCCCTCCCTCCTGCACCAGTGCTAACGGGCTCAGTTCAAATCAGGTTAATCAACAGATCCCACTCTAATCTCCACAAATTGGGACAATTTCATGAGGTAACAGCTCAGGGCTCCTCCTGCTCCCACCTGAGGGCCCTGCTCGGTTTTGAAGTCAAAGGGGTTCCCAACCACCCTGGCCTTGGCCTTCTCCACACTCCTCTCCACAAACTCGTTGTAAATGTCCTCCTGCACGTAGGTCCTGGAGCCAGCACAGCAGCACTGCCCTTGGTTGAAGAACAGGGCAAAGTGGGCTTGATCCACAGCCCAGTCCACTGGGAAGAGAGAGAGAAAACAAATAAGCAAACAAAGCCAACCAGACCTGGGACTGTTTCAGCACATTTATCACAGAGGCTGCTGGGGATACAAAGTCCTTTCAGTTGACAGCATTTGCCATGGGTTGGAGGGCAGGAGTTGCAGATTTCATTCTTTATTAAAGCACCCCTGTCTAGAGAAAAATATCCAACCTGAGGAAGGTTACAGTTCTCATTGGAAATTATCAAGTGTTAAGGACGAATTTTCTTCCTTACTTAACTGCTCAGTTAAGTGAGTGTTGGCTCATTGAGGCCAAAAATGAGTTTATATGCAAGGGATGAGGGGAGCAGCACTTCATGGAAGAAAAGAGTCGTGTGCTCCAAGAGAAATGAAAAAGTGGGGTAAGGACTGGAGGAAGATACTGAAACAATTCTTCTTTTTTTTTTGTTGATAGCTGAACTACCCAGCGCTGGGAAAAGCAGTGGGAGTGGTGAGTGCTGATACACAAATGCAGCAGAGCGGTGGTGTCAGGGCCAGAGCCTCACACTGGAGACCTTTCCTTCCTTTCCCTTTGCTCTCCAGCTCTGGAAGCAGCCAAGGTAAAAGGCACAGAGCAGACATTCCCCAGCAGCCACTCACTGTCTGCATCAGACAAGATGATATTGGGGCTCTTCCCTCCGAGCTCCAGGGTCACCCTCTTGAGGTTGCTCTGTGCTGCAGCCTTTTGGATCAGGTGTCCAACCTGCAGGGAGGGCAGAGCAGGTGTTGGAATTAACTCCCATCAGCATCAGGCTTTACATCTCACTCAGCATTTCATGCTAATCCTCAAAGCAGGGCTTTGAGTTTCACCTCCAACAAGAAACAGCTCGGGGGAAACAACAGGAAATACTCTAAAGAATCAAATCAGAACAAAGGAGTCTTAGCTAATGCAAACATACATTTCATACCCTGGAATCAGCTCTGAGTGAGGTGCAGAAGGCAAAGCACCTGAGTATTTCACCAGCCATGGGCCATTCCATGGTGCCAGGGCTCAGGGCGCTCCCTTACCTCGGTGGAGCCGGTGAAGGCGACTTTGTCAACGTCCATGTGGGAGGAGATGGCAGCTCCTGCCGTGGGGCCATAGCCAGGGATGATGTTCACCACGCCCGGGGGGAATCCAGCCTGGAGGACACAGCAGCATCATTCCTCTGACACAGCAAGGCTTCCACTGCCCTCCTGTGTCTGTGACAGCCTTCCCTCCTTTGATTCCTCCTTTCATCTCCCAGGGCTTCATTTTAATGCTGTTTGCAACAACCAGGACAATTCCTCTCCCCACCCCACGTCCCAAGCACAAGTTGAAGGTGTGAATACACACAGAAATACAGATATATGTTCACTTTCTGAAGTTCATTATGCAATCAAACCTCAAAGAGTCCTTCCCTAATCAAGACTTACATCATCTGCACATGCAGATGAATATGAACAACATATGAACAAGAGAATTTTTTTGATAAATCAACCCAGCCCTTCCCTGCTCCTGCCTCGATGGAATCCTGGCCTCATCCTCACCTCTTTGATCAGACTGGCCACATAGAGAGCAGTCAGGGGGGTTTGCTCTGCCACTTTCATCACAACCACGTTGCCAGTGGCCAGGGCAGGCCCCAGTTTCCATGCTTGCATCAACAGTGGGAAGTTCCACTGAAAAACAAGGAGAAATTAAAAAGTTTCTGATTAGTCAGTAATGAACCGGGGCTCCACTCAAATCAACACTTTGGGAAGAGTCTTGGATTTTTCATCATCACACAAAATTCTGGAGTTAATTCTAGGCAAGAATTTAAACTTAACTGTGGTTCTGAGTCAGCTAATTCCTATAAATGAGCTTAAACCCCCTGTTTTTTTTTTAAATCAGCAGAGCCCATGAAATCGAGGCAGTTCTGCTCTCCCAGGGTGGGTGAGGTAAGAACCCTCCCAGCTGGTGCAAGCCCAGCTCTGTTCAGCCTGGCAGGAAGCAGAGCTTGGCAACAGAGGGGAACCCAGAGTGCAACCCTGAATTGTTGCAGCCCTGCAGGAGCTGCTGCTCCTCTTTACTCACTGGGATGATTTGCCCACAGACTCCCACGGGCTCGTGCCTTGTGTAGCAGAAGAAGTCTCCATCTAACGGGATGGTTTTGCCATGGAATTTATCTGACCAGCCTGCAAAGTATCTGCAAACAATAACAAATTGGTCACGGGAATTAAAACAAGTCTGCTGCCAACAGAAAATAAAAGAGGATTCCTCTGTTTCAGTCCCAACTCAGTGCAGGTATTTCCCACACAGGTGATTTAAAGAATGGACAGCAAATAGAAATATTTGTGTGCTAACAGATCACCACCACCTGTGTGACTTGGGGAGGTCAGAGTAGCAAAAAGTAGAAACAAAAGAAAACAGCAGAAGCAGAAAGTAAACCCAAAGTGTCTGATCTGAAACCATCATAGATCAGACTCAGATCCCACAGCCCCTGAGTTTGGAGGTGGCTGAACCTGCAGAGCCTCAGCACCACGGCCCAGCTGTGGCCCCCAAACCCACCTGAGACATTTGATCACCATGTCCAAGTCCACCAGGTAGGAGATGGCGTAGGGTTTGCCATTATCCAGAGTTTCCAGGGCCTGCAAAGACAGCAGAGTTCCCTGAGGAGCTGGGGGGGAACCGAGTCAGTTCTCAGTTTGCAGCCTGTGCTGTCTGTTGGATTTTTGCAGAAGTGCCTCCCCACCCTCTGTGGGTGTGAGCTGGGGGTGAGGAGCGGGCACAGCCCCGCGGGTCCGGCACTCACGGCCAGGTAGGCGCGGTCCCTCTCGATCAGGTCAGCCAGGCGGTTCAGCAGCTTGCCGCGGTGCGATGCATCCATCCTCCTCCAGGGCGAGCCCAGCCGGAACGCGGCCTGGGCCGCCTTCACCGCCTTGTCCACATCTGCCTGCGGGGGAGCGCGGCAAAGGCTGAGCGAGGAGTAACCAGCGCCGCTCCTCCCTCTCTGCACACAACACAAACCCTCCCTGCCCTGCCGGAGAAAGCTGCCCGAGGCCAGGCAGCACCGGGGGCTGCTCCTGCCGGGCTCCGGGGGAGAACCTGCAGTCCCAGGGCAGGGGAGCACCCCGGGCCCTTCCCCAGGAGCACCAAGCTCAGCACGCCCTGCGAGGACACGGCTTCCCCATCGTGAGCAGGAAGCAGCAGCAATGGCAGAGGAGCAGATGGGTGCAGCAGCTGTGCAGCCTCTGCCTGTGCTCAGCCTCTGTTATTTCAGCTACACAGAGCGCAAATATCATCAGGTTATTTCTGCAATGTCACCTGCTGGGTTAATATTTGCATCCTAGCATGAGGCATGGAAAAAGCTCTGGAAGTCTACTTTGGGCACTTTTTCACAATCCAGTCCAAAGGAGTTTTCTCCTGGATCAGCTGTCTCTGTTCCACGATTTTGTCCTGCCAGGGCATTTGCTGGTTCCTACCTGGTTCTCTGTCCTGGCTTGCTGCAATGGTCTCGCCAGGACAAGCCAGAGAAGCAAACAACAAAGGGTTTCCCTCACTCTCCCCTCCCCTGGGGAACACACACAGGTTTCCAGACTGTAGGAAAAACCTCAAATTGCTGGGAAACACCACCTCAGCTCTGCCACAGACTCCAGGAGCGCCTTGCATAAGGCAGGTGATGATTATTGACTTTATTCCCCACCATTTCTTTTTTTTTCTAAGCAGCAGCCAAGCAAGGACACGAGCAGCCCTCAGTGTGGCGTCTGCACAGATCAGACACTGCTGCAAACACGGAGCTGCCCAGGTGGGACAGGGGGTGGTGCCTTCCCCTGCATCCCCTCTGGAGCTGCTCCCACGGAGAACAAACCCACGGCAGCCCCACAGCGCTCACCTTATCGCCCTCAGCCACCTGGCAGATGACTTCTCCCGTGGCTGGGTTGACGGTGGGGAAGGTTTTCTTGCTGACTGCATCGTGCCATTCGTTATTTATGAAAATCTGCAAGGAAAAGCCAAGCAGGGTGAGCCCAGGGGAATCAGGGAGAGCTTTGCTTCTTTGATGGCATCTGAGGAGCCTGGTTAATTAAAACTTGACTTGTGTGGGCTCCAAACCTGCAGCAATATGAAGGAGATACTTTAGCCTAAAAGCACACAACACAGCCTCGAGTGAATAAAGGAATTCACAGCTCAGCAAACAGCACGTGAGCTGGAAGAGCTTCCCATCTTGGTGGGTCCTTGTGAAAGCTGGAATCCTGGCTGGGGCTGTGCAGGGACAGCTCAGGAGACTGAGGAGTGGGAAAATGCTTTAGGCACAGACAACACAGTGAGCTGCTTTTGTCCAGAGCACCAGAGCTTTTACAGGATTTCTTATGAGTCTTAAGGATCTTTTCCAATCCAAACAATTCTGTTATTTCCCAGATTAACCAACTTTAGGCTCGCCATGCACCAGAACCAGGTGCTAACAGCAGCTTTTTCCAACTCTTTCTTTCTAAGGTTAATTTTTTTTTTTTTTTTTCAGGTCTGTGGCAAGAGAATGGGAGTGCAAAGATCGCCGTGCTCGCCAAGCACTTGCAGAACACCCAGACAACCACCAAGAGCCCGGGCACGGCCACCGGGGAAGGAGTGGCCGGGTGCCTTGGCACGCACCTGGCACAGGTGATCCCACAGGGTTTTCCTGGAGCAAGGGTCCGCTCTCTGCAGATAAACCAGCCAGGCACCTTGCCCTCCCTCCCGTGCCCTTGCCCGGAGTNCAGCAAAGTTTCACAGAGCCAAGAATTTGGGAATTACTCCAGAAGGATGGGATGCTGAGAATTCTGGAAAAACAGAATTCCCAAAGGAAAAGCAGAATTCCATGGGGAAAAGCAGAATTCTCACAAGAGAAGCAGAATTTTCAGGGGGAAAGCAGAATTCTCACAGGAGAAGGAGAATTCCCAAAAGAAAAAGCAGAATTACAAAAGGAGAAGCAAAATTACAAAAGGAAAACCAGAATTCCCAAAGGAGGAGGAGAATTCTCAGGGGAAAATGAGAATTTCAAAATCAGAATTCCCAAAGAAGAAGCAGAATTTTCACAGGAAAAGCAGAATTTCCACAGGAAAAGCAGAATTCTCAGGGGAAAAGGAGAATTCCAAAAGAAAAAGCAGAATTATCAAGGGAGAACCAGAATTCCCAAAGGAAAAGCAAAATTCCCAGAGGAGAAGCAGAATTTTCAGGGGAAAAGCAGATTTCCCACATGAGAAGCAGAATTCTAAAAAGAAAAGCAGAATTCCCAAAGGAGAATTCTCAGGGGAAAATGAGAAATTTCAAAAGCAGAATTCCCAAAAGAAAAGCAAAATTCCCAGAGGAAAAGCAGAATTCCATTGGGAAAAGCAGAATTTCCCAAAGGAAAAGCAGAATTTCCACAAGAAAAGGAGAATTCTCAGGGGAAAAGCAGAATTCCCAAAGGAAAAGCAGAATTCTCAGGGGAAAAGCAGAATTCCCAAAGGAAAAGCAGAATTCTCAGGGGAAAAGGAGAATTCCCAAAGGAAAAGCAAAATCCCAAAAGGAAAAGCAGAAATCCCAAAAGGAAAAAGCAGAATTCTCACAGGAGAAGCAGAATTCCCAAAGGAGAATTCTCAGGGGAAAATGAGAATTTCAAAATCAGAATCCCCAAAGAAGAAGCAGAATTTCCAAAGGAAAAGCTGAATTCCATGAGGAAAAGCTGAATTCCATGAGGAGAAGCAGAATTCCTGAAGGAAAAGCAGAATTCCCAAAGAAAAAGCAGAATTCCAAAAGGAAAAGCCGAATTTTCAGGGGAAAAGGAGAATTTCCAAAGGAAAAGCAAAATTCCCAAAGGAAAAGCAGAAATCCCAAAAGGAAAAGCAGAAATCCCATAGGAGAAGCAGAATTCCCAAAGGAGAATTCTCAGGGGAAAATGAGAATTTCAAAAGCAGAATTCCCAAAGGAAAAGCGGAATTTCCAGAGGAAAAGCTGAATTCCAAAAGGAGAAGCAGAATTCCTAAAGGAAAAGCAGAATTCCATTGGGAAAAGCAGAATTTCCCAAAGGAAAAGCAGAAATCCCAAAAGGAAAAGCAAAAATCCTATAGGAGAAGCAGAATTCCCAAAGGAGAATTCTCAGGGGAAAATGAGAATTTCAAAAGCAGAATTCCCAAAGGAAAAGCAGAATTCCCAAAAGAAAAGCAGAATTATCAAGGGAGAACCAGAATTCTCCAAGGAGAAGCAGAACTCCCAAAGGAAAAACAGAATTCCAAAAATATCATGTAAATAATNCTCGGCACGGCCCCCGCAGAACCAGCCTGGGGGCCTTGGCTCCTATGGAAAAGGCTGATCCAGCTCGCTTCGAGCAGCACAGCTTGGCTCAGCACGGTCACGTTAAGATCAGCTTGGCTTGGCTCGGCACAGCTCAGTACGGTTCGGGTCGGTTCAGCTCTGTTCGGTTCAAGTCAGGCTTGGTTTGGTGCACAGGGGGTGCCTCATCCGTGTCCAGCACTGTCCCTGTCCCGTCTTTTCCCAGCCTATGCCCATGGAACTTTGTGCCTTGTTGCAGGAAACAACCAGGAAAAAAGAAAAAAAAAGGGGAAAAAAAAACACAAAAAACCAGAAACATCTCTGCTGAGCTGGTTATTATTGCAGGAAGGTGATGAGGGAGAATTTGGGGACCTGGACTCTCGGTTCCATGGATATGCCACCATTACCATCCACCCAGGCACCCAAAAGCCCCTCCCGTGTGTAGGGGCAGTGGAACAAAGCCAGGGAAGTGCTTTCACAACAGGGAGTTTCTGGGTGAATGCAAATGAGAGGCTTTGTGAAATCGCTCCCAACAATGGCTAAAGGCCTTTTTTTTTTCTGGTTTGTTTTAGATGCCTTGTGCAACTTCAGCGTGTCCAAGTGCAGGGAACAGAGGTGTGCTCGGGTTATCATCACAAAGAAAGCCACAGACCAAAAATACAGAGAGGTTTTAAACCTCTGAAAAAAAAAGACCTGTGGTATTACCCTGTAAAAGAGACTCAGTGAGGAGTCTGTGAAGGGTGACAGGGATGGCTCTGGTTTATTAAAGGGGACAGAAAAAATGTACAATATTTGAGTTCAGGAGTGGTTTCACCGACTGTCCTGGACATCCCAAGCTGCTGAAATTCTTGCTGGAGGTTCCAGCATTTGCACTTTCCGGGCATTTCTCTCCTGTCCAGGGCAGTATCAGCCCAGTTGAGCAGGAAGGAACAGCCCAGCCCAGAGAAGGCAAAATGCCCTCCCCAGGTTATCCAGCAGGACACGGATTAGGCCGTGCGTCTCCCGGATCAGCTGGAAAGAAATCCTCTTGTGCTGGGTCTCGGGCTCCTCATCCCTGTCCGCCCGTGTCCCTGGCAGGGGGTGGATGAATTCCCGGGCAGCCCTTTAGAAAGCGGCACTCGCAAGGAGGACGCGTTCTCCTCCTGTCACAGCCCTGCTCGTGTTAACCCCCCCTGGGAGAGGCCAGAGCCGCTGTCCCTGCAGAGCTGTGCCCGTGTCCCCCAGAGCGGNGCATTTGAGAGTTTTCAGGGCTGAATTTCATCTTTTTAGAAACAACTCTTTCACACAATGCAGACTGAATCAATGGAAAACCTAAAAAAATGGAGATGCATTCAACACAGGGAATTAAAGGAGGCAAAATAATTTAAACACACAAAAGTCAGGGAAAAAAAACAAAAAAAAAACCAAAACAAGAGCTGCTTGGTCTGCAGGATAATTATTACACCTGGGACCCCCTTTGAAATAATAATAATAATAATTTTGTGATTAAAAAGCAAAGCAAAGCAAACTCCACTATACCTTGGGCTAAACATGGAAAAGAAGCTGTGGGAGTGAATCCCCCTGTGCAGCCTTACCTGGGGCTGGATTCATGTGGGAACTGCACACTGTTGGCATAAACTTCAATTATTTGGACAATGTTGGGGTGTGTTGCACACATCATGTGCAGCCGTACCTGGAAGAGAAGGGAAAGGCTGTTACTGCACACAGGGACAGCTCTGAGGTAAAAACACCCCAAATCTGGGAAAGATTGGGGGATCCCACACAGAGCTCTGGGAAAAGCTCAGTTTTGGAGGGTTGGACAGAAATTTAGACAAACGGCTTTAAGAGTAATGTAGTGTTTTAATGGAAGTGAAAATGAATGAATAAATCCTAAAATTCCATCATGTGGAATGAATAAACCCCAAAATTCCATCATGTGAACAAACCCCAAAATTTCATCATCTGGAATGAAAAAACTCCAAAATTCCATTGTGTGGAACGAACAAATCCCAAAATTCCATGATGTGAACAAACCCCAAAATTCCATCATGTGGAATGAATAAATCCCAAAATTTCATCATCTGGAATGAAAAAACTCCTAAATTTCATCATCTGGAATGAAAAAAACCCCAAATTCCATAATGTGGAATGAACAAACCCCAAAATTCCATCGTGTGGAATGAATAAACCCCGAAATTCCATCATGTGGAATGAACAAACCCCGAAATTCCATCATCTGGAATGAACAAACTCCTAAATTTCATCATGTGGAATGAATAAATCCCAAAATTCCATCATGTGCAATGAATAAATCCCAAAATTCCATCATGTGGAATGAACAAACCCCAAAATTCCATCATGTGGAAGGAACAAACCCCAAAATTCCATCATGTGAACAAACCCCAAAATTCCATCATCTGGAATAAACAAACTCCTAAATTTCATCATGTGGAATGAATAAATCCCAAAATTCCATCATGTGGAATGAACAAACTCCAAAATTTCATCATCTGGAATTAAAAAACTCCAAAATTTCATCATCTGGAATGAAAAAAACCCCAAATTCCATAATGTGGAATGAACAAACCCCAAAATTCCATCATGTGGAATGAATAAATCCCAAAATTCCATCATGTGGAAGGAACAAACCCCAAAATTCCATCATGTGGAAGGAACAAACCCCAAAATTCCATCATGTGGAAGGAACAAACCCCAAAATTCCATCATGTGCAATGAACAAACCCCAAAATTGCATCG